CTCTGAAGAGTTTTGATCAAGAAAGGGTACTGTACTTCATCAAATGCTTTTTCTGCATCTATTGAGAGGATCATCTGATTCTTGTTCTTTCTTTTGTTAATGTATTGTATCACGTTGATTGATTTGCGGATGTTGAACCAAACTTGCAGCCCAGGGATAAATCCCACTTGGTCATGGTGAATAATCCTTTTAATGTACTGTTGGATCCTATTGGCTAGTATTTTGGCGAGAATTCTTGCATCCATGTTCATCAAGGATATTGGTTTGCAATTTTCCTTTTTGATGGGGTCTTTGTCTGGTTTTGGGATCAAGGTAATGGTGGCCTCATAAAACGAGTTTGGAAGTTTTCCTTCCATTTCTATTTTTTGGAACAGTTTCAGGAGAATAGGTATTAATTCTTCTTGAAATGTTTGGTAGAATTCCCCTGGGAAGCCATCTGGCCCTGGGCTTTTGTTTGTTGGGAGATTTTTAATGACTGCTTCAATTTCCTTAGTGGTTATAGGTCTGTTCAGGTTTTCTGTTTCTTCCTGGTTCACTTTTGGTAGTTGATACATCTCTAGGAATGCATCCATTTCTTGCAGGTTATCTAATTTGCTGACATAGAGTTGCTCATAATATGTTCTTATAATTGTTTGTATTTCTTTGGTGTTGGTTGTGATCTCTCCTCTTTCATTCATGATTTTGTTGATTTGGGTCATTTCTCTTTCTTTTGGATAAGTCTGGCCAGGGGTTTATCAATCTTGTTAATTCTTTCAAAGAACCAGCTCCTAGTTTCTTTGAACTGTTCTACTGTTCTTTTGGTTTCTAGTTCATTGATTTCTGCTCTGATCTTTATTATTTCTCTTCTCCTGCTGGGTTTAGGCTTTATTTGCTGTTTTTCTCTAGCTCCTGTAGGTGTAGGGTTAGGTTGTGTATTTGAGACCTTTCTTGTTTCTTGAGAAAGGCTTGTATTGCTATATACTTTCCGCTTGGGACTGCCTTGTTATATTCCAAAGATTTTGAACAGTTGTGTTTTCCTTTTTACTGGTTTCCGTGAATTTTTTTAATTCTTCTTTAATTTCCTGGTTGACCCATTCATTCTTTAGTAGGATGCTCTTTAGCCTCCATGTATTTGAGTTCTTTCCGACTTTCCTCTTGTGATTGAGTTCTAGATTCAAAGCATTGTGGTCTGAAAATATGCAGGGAATGATCCCAATCTTTTGGTACCAGTTGAGACCTGATTTGTGACCTAGGATGTGATTTATTCTAGAGAATGTTCCATTGGCAGTAGAGAAGAATGTGTATTCCGTTGCTTTGGGATGGAATGTTCTGTATATGTCTGTGAAGTCCATTTGTTCCAGTGTGTCATTTAAAGTCTTTATTTTCTTGTTGATCTTTTGCTTAGATGATTTGTCCATTTCAGTGAGGGCGGTGTTAACGTTCCCCACTGTTATTGTATTGTTGCAATGTGTTTCTTTGCTTTTGTTATTAATTGCCTTATATAATTGGCTACTCCCATGTTCGGGGCATAGATATTTACAATTGTTAGATCTTCTTGTTAGATAGACCCTTTAAGTAGGATATACTATCTTTCCTCATCTCTTATTACAGTCTTTGTTTTAAAATCTAATTTGTCTGATATAAGGATTGCCACCCCAGCTTTCTTTTGGTGTCCATTAGCACGGTAAATGGTTTTCCACCCCCTCACTTTCAATGTGGGGGTGTCTTTGGGTCTAAAAGGAGTCTCTTGCAGACAGCATTTCGATAGGTCTTGTTTTTTAATCCGGTCTGATAACCTGTGTCTTTTGACTGGGGCATTTAGCCCATTTACATTCACGGTAACTATTGAAAGATAGGAATTTAGTGCCATTGTATTGCCTGTAAGTTGACTGAGAGTGTATATTGTCTGTGTCCCTTTCTGATCTGTGCTGCTTTTAGGCTCTCTCTTTGCTTAGGGGACCCCTTTCAGTGTTTCTTGAAGGGCTGGTTTTGTGTTTGCAAATTCCTTTAGTTTTTGTTTGTCCTGGAAACTTTTTATCTCTCCTTCCATTTTCAGTGACAGCCTAGCTGGATATAGTATTCTTGGCTGCCTATTTTTCTCATTCAGTGCTCTGAATATATCATGCCAGTCCTTTCTGGCCTGCCAGGTCTCTGTGGATAGGTCTGTTGCCAATCTAATGTTTCTACCATTATAGGTTACATATCTCGTCTCCCGAGCTGCTTTCAGGATTTTCTCTTTGTCTCTGAGACTCGTAAGTTTTACTATTAGATGTCGGGGTGTTGACCTATTTTTATTGATTTTTTTGAGGGGTTCTCTGTGCCTCCTGGATTTTGATGCCTGTTTCCTTCCCCACATTAGGGAAGTTCTCTGCTATAATTTGCTCCAGTATACCTTCTGCCCCTCTCTCTCTTTCTTCTTCTTCTGGGATCCCAATTATTCTAATGTTGTTTCGTCTTATCGTATCGCTTATCTCTCGAATTTGCCCTCATGATCCAGTAGTTTCTCTTTTTCTCAGCTTCTTTATTTTCCATCATTTGGTCTTCTATATTGCTGATTCTCTCTTCTGCCTCACTTATCCTAGCAGTTCGTGCCCCCATTTTTGATTGCACCTCATTAATAGCCTTTTTGATTTTGATTTGGTTAGATTGTAGTTCTTTTATTTCTCCAGGAAGGGCGTCTCTAATAACTTCCATGCTTTTTTCAAGCCCAGCTAGTATCTTTAAAATCATGCTGAACTCTAGGTCCAACATCATACTAATGTCCCTATTGAGTAGGTCCCTGGCAGACGGTACTACCTCTTGTTCTTTTTGCTGAGGTGATTTTTTTCATCTTGTCATTTTGTCCAGAGGATAATAGATGAATGCGATAACAAAATGCTAACAATGTAACAACGTCCCCAGAAAATATAAATAAATCAGAAAAGACCTGAAACTGGGGGAAAAGAAAGGGAAAGAAAGAAAAAAGAAAGAGGAGAAAAAAAAGATAAAAAGATAAAAACAAACAAAAACAGAACAATACAAAAAGAAACAGAATATGATCATATATGATCAGGCTAGTGCATAGATCAGTGCCACACACCAGATTTTGGGTGTATTTTGGTCTGTTAGAAGAAAGTGCCTCCTAAAATTTTAAGGAAAGAAAGACTTATATATGTACAAAATAAGGGTTGATAGAATGAAGGGATGGAAGATGACTGTAAAGATGAAAATTATAAAAGATTTTATAAAAGGAATTGATAAGAAGTTGTTTGAACAAAGAAAGAAGATTTAAAAAAAAAGTGAGATAATGTGATCAGGCAGGAGACTAGAACAAAGCCATATCCTAGTGATTTAGTGTATATTTCTATCTGTTAGAAGAAAGTGTATCTCAAAATTTTAAAGATAGAACAACATATATATATGCCAAAAATAAGGGTAACTACTATGAAGGGATAGAATAGGACTCTAAAAATGAAAAATAAAAATGTTTTTTTTAAAAAAGGGATTGATAAGATGTTGGTTGAAAAAGGGAAAAAGAAAAATTAAAAAAAAAAACAGTTAAAAAAATTAACTTTGTAAAACTAATGAATCATTGTAAAAAAAGCCATGAATTCTATGTGCAGTGTTCCCCTAGCACTGGAGTTCTCCCATTCTCCTTGATCGGTAAACTTGGTCTTGGCTTGCTGGCTGTTCCTGCTGATCTTCTGGGGGAGGGGCCTGTTGCCGGGGTTCCCAAATGTCTTTGCCCGGAGGCGGAATTGCCCCACCCTTGTCGGTCTGGGCTAAGCAATCTGCTCGGGTTTGCTCTTGGCAGCTTTTGTTCCCTGCAAGCTCTCGGTACAGCTTTGGAGAATGAGAGTGAAAATGGTGGCCTCCCAGTCTCCGACCGGAGGATCCGAGAACTTGGTGCCCCGCCCCTCAGTGCGCCCCCAGAGAAAAGCAGTCAGTCACTCCCTTCTCCCCGGTCTCCGTCCGCACCCCGTGCTCACCCGGCCTGTGACCGTGTGTTTCTATCTCTGGCACCCGACCCCGTGTGGAGTCTCCAAACCCAGCAGATCCCTGCGGTGCCCTCACGCGCCGCTCCTCCGGCAGAGGAAGGGGCGTGTCCCCGCTCTGCCGCTTGTTGGGTCCCTGCTGGAGGAGCAGGGGCCCAACTGGGCCGCGGATCACAGTTTATGGCAACCCCAAGCTGAGAGCCCGCTCCTCGGCTCCGTCTCTGCAGTCGGCTTCCCCGCTCCAATACCTGGGAGCTCTGCCTCACTCAGGCACCCCCGGTCTTTCTGTGACCCCGAGGGTCCCGAGACCACCCTGTCTCACGAGGGTTCCTCCCCTAGCTTAGCCACTGGAGCAACGTCCCTCAGCGGAGCTGATTTCTAAACATTCCGATTTTGTGCTCTGCGGCTTTATCACTTGCCAGAAGCGCCCGATGGAGGCCCCCTCCACCACCGTCTATTCTCCCGAATATTGCCTCAGATTCACTTCTCCGCAAGCCCTACCTTCCAGTAAGTGGTCGTTTCTCTGTTCAGAGAGTTGTTGCTACTCTCTTCTTCGATCTCCTGTTGAGTTCGTAGGTGTTCAGAATGGTTTGATCCCTATTCGGCTGAATTCCTGAGACCAGACAAAATCCAGGTCTCCTACTCCTCTGCCATCTTGCTCCGCCCCCCCATTAGCATTTCTTGTAGGACCCATTTAGTGGTGATGAATCCTTTACCTTTTGCTTATCTGGAAAGCTCTTAATCTGCCCTTCAATTTGGAATGGTAACCTTACTGGTTAGAGAATTCTTGGTTGAATTCATTGAACAGATAAAGTAACTGAGCTACTTCAGGGATGGGAGACCATCCCAGCCAGGTGCTCTGGGCAGGAGAGCTCAGATTGTAATGTTTACTCTTTCCTCTCAAGTGAGTCCCTCTATTGATTCCTTTTATTCTTTCATTTGCTAAATAATTATTGAGCACCTACTATGTAGTAGGCACTTGGGAGGCTTGTGGGATTCAGTGGCAAACAAGCTTGTAGTCCAGTGATGTCCTCTTTCATTTTATAGGTTATGGCTTTCAAATCACAGCCTATTTCCTCAAGAGAGGGATACGCCTTCACTGTTTCGGGGGTTCACAGAGGACTGGTAAGAAACTGATTTCTTGAGTTGACAGGCACTTTGCACTATTAAATTGCTCTAGAGAAGAAATGAAAATTAAGGAACCAAGATTCCAACTTGCTTCATTGCCTTTGTGAAATTGAAGTAGTAATTAAGAATATTTCTAAACATTTGTGATTTTTGTTTTGTTTTTTAATTTTCACTGATTTTGAGAACTGTGAGCTGAGCCACATTGTGCTTCACTCTCCTGCTGCATCTCAGCACTTTCATTGAGCTTCCAGAATGATTTGACAGGCAGTTAAACTATGAATCACTTCATCTTTGTCTGTGCACACCAAGTCCCTGGGATACAGAACAAGTGTGTACACGAGAAAATGCTTTCCCAGCCCAAAGCTGTCAGAGCCCTTCTTAGGTGTGTGACAAGGCCAGCTTCCCTCCTCATTTCCACAAGTCAAGAAGTCCACTGGGGAAATGATGTCAAACACGTCCAGCCAACAACAATAAAGTCAGATGCTAATGACAATTCTCCAAGCTGATCTGAACATTGAAAAGAAAATCTAACTGAACTTCCTTGGATGATTTTAATATATAAGATATGAAACAGGGACTTTGAAAATAAACTGTACGAAGATTTGCTCTTGGAATCTTAACAGTGATCTGCACTTTTTAAACTTTAAGTGTCAGTTAAGTATATTACTCTCTTAATGGGGCTTTCCACTTTGTTCAATTCTCTTAGTAAAATAAGCCAGTTATCCTTGTATCTGTCTGTTAAAATGAAGGCTAGCTACTATGTATGGTAGAGATAGTTACTGCCTAAATCTTTATTTAAATATTAAAACAATAAAAATCTCAGTTATGACCTATGCAAAGAAAAGGTATACAGAAGTTGCTTTCTGTTTATACAATACCTAGCCCCAAAATGTTCAAAATTCATCATTTTGGCATTCTTATTTTTCAGAGAAGAAATGGAAGGACAAATCAGAGGAATTACTGGATAGAACTGATTATTTTGAATTTGAATTCTGATCCACTGAGTTGTATTGCAATGTTAGGTTTTGGGCAGAGGGCAGATAATGAATTCTGGGGCTCAGTTCCCTCTTCCTGAAAGTGAGAAGCAGACTACTTACCACTTAGTTCATTAAGAAATTTTAAGAATTAGGGTTGCCTGGGTGGCTCAGTTGGTTAAGAATCTGACTTCAGCTCAGGTCATGATCTTGGCGTCCTGGGATTGAGCCTTGTGTTGGGCTCTGCACTCAGTGGGGAATCTGCTTCTCCCTCTCCCTTTCGCTCTGCTCCTCCCCCTACTCTTGCACATAGGAACGCGCTCTCTGTCTCTCTCATAAATAAATAAAAATAAATAAAATCTTTTTTTTTTTTAAGAAATTTTAACAATTAATGAATAAGGACACCTGGGCGGCTCGGTCAGTTAAGCTTCTGCCTTCAGCTCAGGTCATGATCCCAGAGTCCTGGGATCAGCCCTGCATCAGGCTCCCTGCTCATTGGGAGGGAGCCTGCTTTTCCTTCTCCCTCTGCCGCTCCCCCTGCTTGTACTCTCTCTCTCCCTCACTCCCTCTGTCAAATAAATAACTAAATAACTAATCTTAAAAAAAAAAGAATTAATGAATAGATATTAATGACTTTTATTTATTTATTTTTGGGTTTTCAAAGTCTATTCCTAGTCTCCTAACCAGATAAACATCCATGAGAGGTCAGAGTTTCAACACACTCAGGCTTCTGAAATGGGGAGGTCTAATGGGGGTAAGACCAGAATGACAGGTTAGGTCCCACTTAGGGAGGGCTTTGAAGTCTGCAGGTCTGTGGTAGATACTGAGGAGCCAGGATGGGGTTTTGAGCAGGATAAGTGGAGCTGTATTTTTTTTTCTTTTTTTAGAACTGGTAACCTGCTTGCACTGAGTAGGATAAAATAGAATAGGGAAGAGTGATCACCAAGGACACAGTGGTGGTCTAGGGGAGAGGTAAGGAGATGGCTCTTACTAGAACATCAACTCATTAGGCCTTTGGTGTAATTAACCTAGCCAGGTGGTATGGTGGTAACTGTGTTTAAGTTGTGTGTCCCCGTAATCAACACCTTCGCGCTTGGCTCCTTAGTGTATCAGGCTAAGAGGCGTTATTACCTCAGTCAGTCCCTCACATTGTCATCCATTGTTGGAAATGAACAATGTATGTAAAAGGCTTCACTTATCTGATTCATACCATCCCTCTTTAGAAATATTGGTCATCTAAGAGGGAAGTTTTCACTTTTAGAAAAATGGCTTTGTGATATCAGTATGATACATGTGTATTATAAAAATATTAGAGCAATACAACCAAGTGTAAAGAAGAGAGAAGATCCTCACCTGCCACCCAGAATATACACTATTAGCATCAGCTAAACATCACTCCAGAGATAGGTGGAGGCTGCGTAAGTGAACATGGATGGATAGACAGATGAGAGAGGAGGAAAGATACAGATGGCATTGACCACTTCGTGTTCTTTTTTTTATTGAATGTTGGGGCATCTAGTTCTATGATTCCTTCAGCCTTCTCCACCCAGAAGTCAGTGGTTTGCTTTAAGAAGTTGTAATGATAGATTAGTGGACTGTAGTGTAACTGTATCATCTTTGCTATCGCATATTTTACTATTTCCTTATTTTTCCTATTAATGACACTGCTATTTTCATAGCCTGATTCAGATTGGGAATTTGCCCTCCAGTTTAGGGGACTGATCTAAGACCAGTTGACCAAAGAGATGATAAGTAAAATAATTAGTAAGAACGTCAACAGGTTTTCAGATTTTATCTCCTATTCTTCCTCTTCCTGTATAAATCTGCACACTCATTAGAGAACGTTGATCCTGTTTCCCAAATGTGAGTTCTAGTCAGAAAACAGCAAACTGACACAGGGGGAGGGCTGCAAAAGCCCTTCCTGGGGGTTTCATGGGATATAATATAATGGTCCAGGGGCTCAGGTGGACCAATTTGCAACCTCCTGGGTGCTCCCCACAGCTCTGTGCTTGCCCCGCCCTGCTGACTGCAAACACTGAAAGGCAAGGAGGAGAAGAGACATGTGTCTGATACATACATGCTTATAACTATAACTGAAAAATCTGGGACCAAGCATTTCCAAGCATTTCTCTGTTCATAGATTTTTGATGCCTTTAGTAACTTGATTTTCTTCATTTTGTGCAGAGCTCCGTGTATTTCCTGACAGATTTGTGGTCTGTGTAAGTCAGCTTTCATTCAGTTGTGATCTTTTGGCAAGTCAGAATGAAGAATTGGTATGTACAAAAACATATAAATAAATCTGCTTAAATGACAACTTACTGTAAAAATCATAAAAAGTGTTGTCTTCAGTTATCATTTGGTTATCCATCATTCAGTGCATGTTTTAAGGGACCAAAAATGTCCTACCTATTGCATGATAATATTAACTGATGTGTTTTGTTTTGTTTGCTTTTATTTTTTTTTATCCTGAAGACCCCTTGAAAATTTAGTTTGATCAGCCTTATCTTTTCTACGTCATTTTTAAATGGGAAAGCAACATATCACAAAATCAGTGATGGTGCTTATGATAATATTCAAATGAGATAAAGCAAAGTCTTTCAGTGAAATGAAGCAAAATCCACATGTTTCCACTGGAAGCTTTCATTGGGGTCAGTGGCTTTTGAATTTTATTCCATGGTGAATCACTGACATTTTCATGAGAATCAGTACTTGTCCCCAGTGTGTTGTTTCTTTGCTGATAGGGCTTGTTTTCTATCTCTTTTCTCAGGCTTAGTCTCAAGCTTCATCGGGTCCTGTTTCATTTGTGTTTCATTGGAGTTCTCAATGCAGTTAAATAGATACAAAAAACTCACCCATAATATTGTAGCTTACAGCTTTGTCTTGTAAGCTTAACATATACACTTGAGAGAGTCTACTTGGGGGTGTGTGTGTGTGTGTGTGTGTGTGTGTGTGTCTTTCTGTCTGTCTCTTGCTGCAGCCACAGTCCAATCTATCTGAACTTATCTGTGTGCAAACTTTTTTTCATATTTTTGGATATATTACTTGAACTTTAACAAAGAGGAAAAATATCTAGCAGACATGAAACCTGGACATGAAGTGTGACATGATTATTATGCTTCTAAAATAATTTATGGGAATATTAGATTACTCCTTATGTTTATTATTTTTTAATCCATATGAAATGTGAAATTTGGCCCACATGGTCTAAAACCAGCTTCTTACCTCATCTTAAATAAATGCATAGAGACTAAAAGGGTGAATAGGGACCTAGGAAGAGTAAAGAGCAGAGAAGCTTTTGTTTGGAGCAGATGAGCGCTTTGGAAAAGCCAGCGGGACCCTTATTTCTTCATCTATCAATTAAATGGCATAAATCAAGCAAATTTGGTGAAAAGTATTAAAAGTGTATTCTTTGAAATGTTCCCAGGATGTTAGAGTTGTCTTAGTAAATTAATAAATACTAAAGTAGTAATGCTGTTGGCAAACAACTATAATATAACTTAACTGATTCTCAGAGCAGTGAAGAAATTCATCTGTGGTTTAAGAAAACAATTAGCTATACCAGCAAGTGTCATTGCTTCAGATGGAATACAGAAGAAATTAAATCTTGTATGATATGTAATATTAATACTTAATACCTTAAATTGTTAAGGGTGAATTAAAACATTTCAATACAAATGAAATATTATCCTCCTTAGGGGCACTGGTCTTTATACAGATCGGAGTTTTCTATAGCTGCTGTCATATAAATCCTGTAATCTGGAGGACTTCCTAAATGTTAAGAATTTTCATTCTGAAGAGTTGACTAGTCTGAGCCTTTTACATAAGCCAGTTCAGTTTTCTTGTCTTCAGTATGTTTGTTTGTTTTTTTTTTTAAGATTTTATCTATTTATTTGACGGAGATAGAGAGAGAGCACAAGTAGGCAGAGAGGCAGGCAGAGGGAGAGGGAGAAGCAGGCTCTCTGCTGAGCAGGGAGCCCAATGCGGAACTCAATCCCAGGACCCTGGGATCATGACCTGAGCTGAAGGCAGCCGCTTAACCAGCTGAGCCACTCAGGCGCCCTTGTCTTCAGTATGTTCTGACTTCCAGTGATAACACTATCAGAGTTTATATCATGAGGGTCTTTCATTGTTTTCAGTGACTCTTTACATGTGCTCTGTCTCTGGCTCTTCAGCTGCTCTTCTTCTGCACCTCTGACTGTGCCTTCACGTACACACACTTTCCCAGCCACGCACACGGGAGTCAGCTAACACATAGCACCACTAACCAGCTCCCTTGCTGGACACAGGCTCTGTGCACCCCTTTCTCCTTTCCGGCCTCCAGTCCACCACTTCCTTAAGCTTGTTGTCCCTAGGAAACAGTGAAATATCCAGGCCTAGCAAGGGGTCCTCCTGCAAATTGCCCATCAAGCCAAAAACATGGTCCTTCCACTGCAGGTGCCTTGGAGCTTTCACCTCATTGATGTTTGACTTCTGCAGAGCCCAGCTGTCTCAGCCATTTGAGGCTCAATAAACCATCCCTCCTTCCCAGAATTGCCTTCTGTCTGAGAGAAGGCCTGCATACTCCTTGGTATATATTTCAAATGCCCAAAGCCAGTAATATCTGGCTTTTGTGTGCATATTCCTTGAACTTCTGGAAAGCTTTGAATTCTTTATCGGTTTACATTGATATTCACCAGAGGGCAGGATCCATCTCGTTTCCGTTGGTAGTTATTCTCCAGGAATGTCTGACTGGGCAAGGCCTGGGAAATTGGCTTCCTAAAGAGCTGTATTGGAGATGCGTTTTTGTCAATAAACATCAGTGATTTTCCTGTAAGTGTTTACTGAACTCAGTCTTCCATGGCCCCAGAAGTGATGGGGGAGTGAGCCAGTACGCAAGCAACAGCCTGGGTGCCTCGCTTGTGCCTCGAGTAGCAGATTCCTTTTCCTCCTCCTCCTTCTTTTTTTCTTTTTCTTTTTCCTTTTCCTTTTGGTTCCTCCATGTCTAAATGACAGTTGGTTAGGAAATCTGGGAGTGCCTATTCAGAACTGCTCTGCCAGGGGGTCCTTTCAGCCTGTATAGAAGGAAGCCAGCTGCCCTTCGCTCCCCGGTTCTTAAAGGTGGTTGCACAAAAGAACTGCTGTTCCAGATCGAGCAGTACAAAGGGAGTAATCTCCCTCTGGAGGGCAGAACGGGTGCAGCCATGCCACCCCCTCACACCTTCCCCCAGCACCAGGGAGGTCTGTTACCCCAGCATTGGGATTTCTGTTGCCCACCGAGGGGCGTTGGTGCAGGGAGATGCTCCGTGTTGCAATAGCTCTGTACCGAGTGCCCATGTGCCAGGGATGTGGGAATTGTGATGTGTACTTTGGGAAGAAAGGGCATTATTATGAGATGAGTCACTGTATTTTTCTTACTACAGTTTCTCATAAGAAATCTCAAGGCCCTTGTAGCCCCAGTGTTTGACCTATTGCTAGGAATGGAGCCGGGAAGTCTTTCCGAGGGTTTTACCTTTTGTTTTGTTCTGTGGTGTTTGTTCTCCGTTACTTTCTTTTCCTGAGAAATATGAAAAGCATTAAGTAAATTTTGATTGCACTCAGTTATATTCCATTTCAACAATATTGGCTTTCATATTTACAAACCCAGGTCCCTGTGTCGAAGCTGTTTTTTCCCTCAGATGTAAAGCTCTGGGGCTTTTGGGAAATGAAAAATTATTTATTATTTTTATTATTTCTTTATTAAAGTGAATAGCCAATAATCACCAAAGTAATTGCTTTACTAAGTAATAACTTTGTTGTGTAAATAGAACTCAGTATATAGCTGGGGCATTTCAGGGTCAGCACAAAGCTATTATCTCATAGAGCATTGGTTACAGGCACTCCTACCCTCTGGAGATCCTTCCCATCTGTTCTCACCATCACACTTGAACAAGTTGCTGAGTGCTGGCTCTGTGCCAGGAGCTCTGGTAGGGGAAAAAAAAAGAAAAAATAGGAAAGTGGAGCTTGTAGTCTGCCTTCAAGGAGCTTGTAGTCTGCCAGACCAGGGGTACTGAAGGTTACCCTGGTGACCTAAAAAAAAAATGTAATTCAAATAGAGCCTCCTTTTTTCTTAAAGATGTATCCATTCTGCACCTTAATGGTGCACTTGGATCCTCTGCTATTCGGAAGAAAGCCCCAAATTCTAAATTATTTTCTTACTTTTAAACCTAAGCTGTAAGTCTGTAATTCTTTTGGAAATTAAAAATGGCATGTAGCACACCAGGGCTGCCTGAAAGTGGGTATATAATTCAGATACTTGAGTTCTCTGCCTCATGCCTGCCCCATTCAGGTTGTGGCCAAGCTGTGGCAGTAGCCGTCAAGGTTCTGCAGACGCACCGGTCACCAGGCCCTATGTGCTGGGCCCTCAATGTAGCATCACCTCGGGGGACGATCACTGGCATGTCCCGACGGGAGACACTGTTTAACACTAAACTGAACACGTGAGTCAAACTACTGTGTAATGGCAAAGAATTCTGCTAGTTTATGAGTATGAAATTGAAATGAGAATGAGTCTAAAGAAGCAATAAACTATGCTAGCCGGGATTATTTTTAGCTTGGCTGTCATAATTGAACCTCTGTGGGCCTTAACCCTCATCTCAGTCAAGGGGGGAGGTATCAAATGATCTCAGAAATCCTTTCTCACACTGAATTTCTGTCCAAGGAAGCAGATGAAAATGTAGCTAAGTAACAACCGTGAAATAATTTTGTACAAAAGAGAACCTCACTTGTAGGTTTAAAAGTTGTTGTAAAAAATGGGGGGTAGAGCTACATTTTGTTTTAGGAAAGATAAAAAGAATATATAAAGAAACATTTCAGACCTTCTGTTTCTAGAAGAAATAAACTACTTAATAGTTAGACTATGCATTAACTTTGCACCCTAATTGACAGAATGTTTTATAAGGGAACTTCTGCCTAACTATAAATGAGATCATTCGAGAAAAGAACTTTTTTTTTTTGTATCAAAAAATTAAATAAGTAGTGGATTTTTTTCTAAGTTTTTCATAATGTGTCATAAGCTTTTTAAGAATCCATTCTTCTCATCTTATTGTATTTCCTAAACAATGCTAGTGGTAAATTACTTGGAAGCCATTAACCAGAGATTCCTGTAGCCCTAGGAAAAGTTCCTTGACGGGGAAGATGTTGTTTCCATATTTCACATTTCCCACAGTGTTCTGAACTTAGTTTTCTACTTAATAACTGCTTACCAAAATTGTCCGTGTTCATTGTACAGAAACTCTAGAATTCTTTGTTTACAAAG